TTTTTTCTCTACCAATCTTAAAGCAAATCTTATTTCTTTTTTCTGTACATGCATTGGGTCAAATTTTTAACTAAAATTATTGAAAATTTGTTAGTAACTTTGTCTACAGTGAATATTTTTTAAAGATAGCTACGATCTGTATTCATTTATTAACATTTTTCAACAAGTATCCTATTATGACTAGTCTTGGAACATTATGCTTCGATACTGCCATTATTCGCAAAAAAGTTAACCCCTTTCAAACGTCTATCACAAATTTATAACTGTTAATTCACAGGTAAGACTATTTAAGAATTATTTTATACTTAAAATGAAGAGAGCAATCTATCTATTTTATTTTAAGTGTAGAAGTATCCGTTATGAAAATTTTTTAAATGGTTTATCGGTTTTATTCTTATATCAAGATTTAAATAGGGAATGTGGATAATAGTAAATTATTTTATAGATTTTTTCATAGTCTAATAGGGAAATTTGCGTCAATCCTAAGAGCATGCTAAGCGAATGGAAGGATCTTATTGAAAGTTACTCCAAGTAAAGACTTTTATGAAATACCATACTTACCTTTAGCAACTCTACTAATAACAAGACAAAATAGCATATTGCTATACAGGACAGATTACAATTCGTTAAGTTTGTTATAGGCTGCCCTCACAAGTGTTCAGAATAAATTTTGAGAGATTCGCTAGTTAAAGCTCGTAGTGCTGTTTGTGCCTCCATATGTCTCTAATGGATCCACAAAAAATCTTAAGTATTTTTAAAGCTTAAATTTAAGGGTAATAAAAATATACTCTTCATTTAATGATTAATTCACAAATTTGCAAAATTAATGACTACTTGAAGGTATAATCGGCCAAGCGTGAGTGTTTTTTTATTTGCTAGCACACACGTTTTAATTTAAGCTAGCAAAACATTTTGGGCGTAGGACGTATCGGATTGCTTTATTAACTTTATTCAGGCCATGCTTTTTCGCCTACTTTTGGTAATGTGACAGCTATTTCAGACATTATTTAAAAAAATTAGGGAGACCATTAACTCATGTTTCTATGTAGTCTGAGGCTATCTGTTTTTTACTAGCTTTTAGTTTATATTATTTGAGAAACCTTCGGTAGGGTATTTTTTTATTAAAGGCATTTTAAAGATTGTAACCCTGCTTGAGATGAAAGATTTTATTTAAGAAGTCTGGCATATTCGGTTTTATCCGATATTCTCTCGGTTCCTTAGTAGAATTCCTTTATTTATCTTTATTTACAATAGACTCTGGGACTCATTTATTCATCTCTTCCTGACTCATGTATGGGCATTCGCTTTAGTGGACGCTCGCGAACAATCAATTTGACAGTTCTTGGACTGGATGGGGCGGGAAAGACGACATTGATTGAGCGACTTCATCACAATTGTTTTATTGAAACCTCATCTACACGCTACTTCCAATACTATGAGTTCACTGTTCGCACGAACGGGCCGCTTGCAGGAGTTAATCTAAGGATTTGGGATTTATCAGGGCGGGAGGGTGCTCGGTTTTTATGGACGGAGTTTTTGGCTTCAGCGGACGTCTTACTTTATGTAGTGGATGTAAGTAACACAGAAAGGTGAGTGCAAATATAAAGCTGATCATAGAATTTTTTTAAATGATGATTATTTATCTTTGTATTGAATTATTTTCCTATCAATGTGCAA